ACGAGACCCAATCTAAAACTTGGCGCGAGCTCCCGCTGCAAACATCCCACGAAAACCGTACCGTCAAAATCCAGGACGCGCTCGTCCAAAAACGTCCGCAAGTCCGAGCTCCAGCGTACTCGAGTTCTACGTGTCCCTGATTCATACCCACAACCCAGGCACGGTGGCGGGATGGGCCGAAGGGAATCAGATCCGCCGCCCCCTTTCAATTTATCAAATTGGTGCCTGGCGTGCCCGACGATATGGCTTTTGGTTTTGGTTCTTGTTCCAAAAGAACTCCCCACGGGGCTTCGGCCCGTCCCGCCGGTCACCCGGAAAGGATATCAAAACGCGTCCGTCGTGCCTGTTTCCTCCAGTTGGCCCAAGATGGCGTCCAAGCCCCGAGATGCCTCCAAGACGGCCCAAGATGGCCTCAAGATGGTCTACGACGGTCCAACAGGCCCGCAAGAGGCCTCCAAGACGGCCCAAGAGCCCTCCAAGACGTCCTCCAGGAAGGCCCGAAAGGGCCAGAATCATTGATTTCCCATAGGTGTTTGAAGGATTTTGGCATTTGCGCCTTTTCGGCTTTCCGACGGCCCAAGACGGCCCAAGAGGCCCAAGACGGCCCAAGAGGCCCCCAAATGGGCCCCAAGACGGCCCAAGTGGCCGTCAAGACGGCCCCAAGAGGGCCCCAAGACGGCACAAGAGGCCTCCAACACGCCCAAGATGGCCTCCAGCACGCCGAGGGCCCCAAGTCGGCCCAGAAAGGCCCCCAAGACGGCTCCCGACGGCGTCAGACGTGCCAGGGACCCACCAAGATGGCCGAAGTTGGCTCGAAGCTGGCCCAAGACGGCCCAAGAGGCCCCCACGAGGGCCTCCAGGAAGGCCCGAAAAGGCCCAAAACATTGATGTTCCTAAGGTTTTGACGGATTTTGACATTTGCTTCTTTTCGGCCTTCCGACGGCCCGAGACGGCCCAAGAGCCCCCGAAGATCGCCGAAAGGTCGCCCAAGAGGCCTCCAAGATGGCCCCAGAACGGCCCAAGAGGGCCCCAAGTCTGCCCCAAGAGGCCCCCAAGACTGCACAGGAAACCTTTAAGACGCCCAAGATGGGCCTCCAAGACCTGGAGCATTCCCAGAGGGCCCCAAGTCGGCCCATAGAGGCCCCCCAAACGGCTTCCGACGGCGTCAGACGGACCAGGAGCCCACCAAGACGGCCGAACATGGCCCTAAGATGGCCCAAGACGGCCCAAGAGGCCTCCAAGAGGGCCTCCAGGAAGGCCCGAAAAGGCCCAGATCATTGATTTGCCATGGGGTTTTGAAGGATTGTGGCATTTGCTTGTTTTCTACCTTCCGACGGCCCGAGACGGCCCAAGTGCCCCCAAAGATCGCCCAAGAGGCCCAAGACACGGCCCCAAGAGGCCCCCAAGACGGCCCAAGAGGTCTCCAAAACGCTCAAGATGGCCTGCAAGACGGCCCAAGAGCCCTCCAAGACGTCATCCAAGAAGGCCCGAAAGGGTCAAAATGACCTCCAGACGGCCAAGATGACCTTCAAGATGCCCACGTGTTCCCCGAAGGCTTTCCAAACCGATTCGGGGAACACATGGTGCGATAGCTTGGCAGGTCTGGCCTCAACGTTCGGCCACATAGGCGCTTCCAAAAAGGCAGGGGGCGGCGGTGATTAGCCGTAGGCGTCTTCGATCCGCCGCCCCCTGTTGATTCATCACAGGAGTGTCTGGCGTGCTGAACCCTTTCGGTCTTGTTTTTGGTTCTTTTCCAAAACAACTCCCCCTGGCGAATCGGCCCAGCCCTCCGGGCCGGAAAGAACCGGAAACTGCACATTTCAATGCCTGTCCTGCTCCAAGATGGCCCAAGATAGCCTCAAAGACGGCTCAGATGGCCAGAAATGGCCCTCAAGTTCGCCTAAGATGGTCGAAGATGGCTTCCAAGACGGCCCAAGAGAGCCCAAGATACCTTCAAGTACGCCCAAGAAGCCTCCAAGACGGCCCAAGAGGCCTCCAAGAGGTCCTCCAGGAGGGCCCAAAGAGGCAAGATTCAGTGATTTTCCTGAGGTTTTTGTGGTATTTTAGCATTTGCTTCTTCTCGGCATTCCGACGGTTCAAGACGGCCCAAGAGGCCCCCAAGATCGCTCGAAGTTCACCCACGAGGCCTCCAAGATGGCCCCACGAAGGCCCAAGAGGCTCCCAAGACGGCCCCCCAAGAGGGCCCCAAGAGGCCTCCAAGACGGCCAAGATGGCCTCAAAGACGGCTAAGATGGCCCCAAGATGCCTCCAAAAATGCCCAAGATGCACCAAAAACGGCCTAAGATGACCTCAAGATGACCCCAGACGGCCCAAGAGGCCCAAGAGGCCTCCAAGATGTTCTCCAGGAGGACCTGAAGAGACCAAAATCATTGACTTTCCCGAGGTTGTTGAAGGATTTCGGCATTTGCTCTTTTTCGGCCTTCCGACGACCCAAGACGGCCCAAGAGGCCCCCAAGATCCCAAGATCGCCTGCGAGGCCTCCAAGATGGCCCCATGATGGCCCAAAAGGCCCCCAAGACGGCGACCTCCAAGACGTCCAAGATACTCTCCAAGACGGCCCTGAAGCACCCCAAGAGAGCCCCAAGTCGGTTCAGAGAGGCCCACAAGACGGCTTCCGACGGTGTCAGACGGGTCGGGAACGCCCTAAGACGGCCAAAGAGGCCCCCTAGAAGCCCCCAGCAAAGGCCCCAAGAAGCCCCCAAGAGGCCCAGGGAGGCTCCCAATAGGCCTCCAAAAGGCTCCAAGGAAGCTCCACAGAGGCCTCACAAGAGGCCTCGCAAAACGGTTCCCAAGAAGTCTCCTCCTCATACTCCTCCTCCTTCCCCATCATCCTCATCCTCATCCTCCTCCTAATCATCATCATCCTCCCTCTCCTGATCCTCCTCCTATTGCTCCCCCACGCGTTCCCCGCAGGCTTTCCAAACCGACTCGGGGAACAACTGGCCCGATAGCTTGGCCAAGCTCTAGCCCAGCTGTCGGCCACATAGGCGCTTCCAAAGGGGCAAGGGGCGGCGGTGAGTCGCTGTAGGCGTCTTCGATACAAATATCGTGTGTGCCCGTCCCCGCTGCGCTTACCTGTCCTGGTCTCCCGTCTGCCGCCGCCCCTTGTGTCCTTCCTGGCCTGCGCTGGCCGCCCGCTCCGCCCCCGACTTCCGCCTCTGTGGACCAGCGCGTCGCCGAGCGAGCGCTCGCCGAGGGCAACGTGCGCGCGTGCGTCCACGACGAAGAAGATTAGGACACAGAGGAGGGGAACTCAAGTGAACGTTTTCTTATTCGACGTTTTGACATTGGGCGGAAAGGGGGGGGAGGGGGGGGTCTGGCTCCGGACCTCTGCTCGATGCGACTGTTTGCAGCAGTGCGTCCTGTGGGGGAGAGACTCCGCCTGCTCGAAGCAGGCGCCAAAAACGGCCAAGATCTACTCCACGGGGGGGGGAGGGGGGGGGCGAGTGCCCGCGCCGATCGGCAAAACAAGGAATACAAAAAACGTTGGGCGGTTGGGAACGTTGGCGGTTGGAGAAGTTGGCGGTTGGAAACGTTTGGGGAGGAGGAGGAGGAGGAGGAGGAGGAGGAGGAAAGGAGGAGGAAAGGAGGAGGAGGAGGAGGTGCAGGAGGAAAGGAGGAGGACCCCCCCCGTGCGTCCATGATAAGGAAGAAGATGGGCGGTTGGAAACGTTTCCCAACCCTTCTGTGTCGTTGGCTCCTCGCTTTGAGTTCGCCGCGCCGCGCGTCTCGCTCCAAGCCTGCCTCCTCCTCCCTCCGCCTCCCCCCTCCTCCCTCCTCTTCCTCGCCATCCCCTCCCATCCCCTCCTCCCCCCTCCTCCACTCCCTCCTCCCCCTTCCTCATCCATCCGCCTCCTCCTCCCTCCCTCCTCCCCCCTCCTCTTATCCCTCCTCCTCTCCCTCCTCCTCCTTCCCTCCTCCCCTCCGCTCCCTGCCAGCTCTGCTGCGCTCCTCTCGGCACACCCGTCACGCGATTCGTGCCCCAGACGGAGCTCCGCCTGTGGCCGCAGGGGGGAGAACTCTCATGGCGCCGCCGCGCCCATTGCGACAATCCCCTCAAAGGGATCGTGCCCCATAGGGAGCTCCACGTATGGCCGCGGTGTAGAAAACTCGGCAGCTCTGGAATTGGCCGCGCTGCCTGGACAGCAGACAATCTGTGAGCCTTGCTCTTTAGCCCTGTCCGCCATTCATCCCTTGCATGCGCGTTTCTGCTGCCGTGCTGTCTCACGCCCTCCGTCTCCGCTTGCGGAGCGGTGGGCCTTCATGGGCTCCTCGACCGGACTGGTCAGTCGCGCCGCCGCCGCGCCCACTTCGGCGCACCCCTCCCACCGTAGAGGCCTCCTAGCTGGGGTCGGAGTAGATGGGGTCGGGGGATCGCGCCGCATCGCCGATACCCGATGCATCGGCGATGCACAGGCGATGCATCGTCGACATGGGCGATGCATCGGCGACGCCGGCGTGAAGGACATCGAGCTCCAGATGGAGCCGCATCGGCGACGCATCGGCGATGCGGCGCGATCCCGCGACCCCGTCGGCTCCGACCCCGTCTGGGAGGCCTGGCCACCGGGCCGTGGCGCACACGGGGAGCCCCGCGCGCTCCCGCGGGGCCTGCTCCCGGCGGCGGCCCGCGCCCGCGCCGCCGCAGAGTGCGCGGCAGACGAGAGGAGCGCTCCCACGCTCGCTCCGCCGCGGGCTATTCTCGGCGGGCTCCGCCCCCCCTCCATCCCCTGGGCGCCCTCCAGCTCCCACCCCTCCTCCCCCTGTCGCCCTCCTCCCTCCAGGGGGCCCGACGCTGCATGCTCTGGGATCTCCGAGGAGGGCGCGGCCTCCCTGAAGAGAGAGCGCCGCTCGTCGGCCCGGGCCCCGCGGGCACGGGGGGCGGGTATCACGCTCCGGCCACCTCCTCTCCGCCCCTGCCCTGGCCGCCGCAGGGCAGCCCGGGCCGCGGCGGCCGTCCGTGGTCTCGATGATGATCGCTTCTATGCCGCTGCCCTTGGCGATGTCGTCGATGATCTCCTCCAGCCTGAGCGCTCGACTGTCTGTCCGGCCGCGCTGCCGCGCGAGTCCGCCACCGCGCTCGCCGGGGGAGGGGGGGGGCTCCCTGGGGAGAGCGGGGGTCTGGGGAGGCAGCCGGAGGCGGGAGCGGAGGAGGAGGCGGGAGGGGAAGCGGCAGCCGGAGGAGCAGCAGCCGCGGCGGGAGCGGCAGGAGCGTGAGCGAGAGCGAGACCAGGAATTCGCGCACGATCATGGGCAGAAAGAGCCGACTCCCTGGGCCTCTGGCCGCCGTTCGGGACGATCCGGGTACGCCCGCAACACGCTCTCCGCGAGGCGAAGCTGCGGGGGAGCACCTCGAGGCTGGGAAACCGCCGAGAACCAACGAAAACGCCACCCCGAACCCCGAACCTAAAACGTCCCTAACACTGGCCCTCCGAATGTTGCCCCTGAAGAAGGTACCACTCCCCTGGCCCCTCGGCTGCCCGATGGTGGCCTGGAAAGCCCTCCTCACCCCAATCCCGAGACTCTAAGCGCCGGCTCCCCTTCTGGAGGTCGCCCCTGATGGTGCAGCACATGCAGCCGTTGTCCATCACGACTATCTCGCGGGGGGCGGGGGAGGCATCGGCGATGTGGCTAGAGGTGGACGGAGTGGAGTGGCGAGGCTAGGAGCAGCGAGGAGGAGAAGAAGGAGGAAGAGAAGCAGCAGCGTCATGCTCCTCCTCCATTTTCACCCCTCCTATCCTCTTCCCTCCTCCCTCCTCCCTCCTCCCGACCTCCCCCTCCCCATCCACCTCCACCTGGTCCTGCTCCCTCCTCCTCCACCTCCTCCTCCTCATCATCATCATCATCATCAGCATCATCAGCAGCAGCATCATCACCACCACCATCAGCAGCATCAGCATCAGCATCAGCAGCATCAGCATCAACATCATCACCATCATGACCATCATCACCATCATCACCATCATCACCATCATCAGCATCGTCATCGCCACCACCATCAGCAGCAGCATCAGCATCAGCATCAGCAGCATCAGCATCAGCATCAGCATCATCACCATCATCATCAGCAACAGCAGCATCAGCACCACCATCGTCATAAATTCATCAGCAGTATCATCATCAGCAGCAGCATCATCACCATCATCATCAGCAGCATCAGAAGCAACAGCATCAGCATCAACATCAGCATCAGCATCGTCTTCTTCATCATCATGAGCATCATCATCAGCATCGTCATCAGAATTCGAATGAGAAAATCAGCATCATCATCATCATCATCATCATCATCATCATCAGCATCGTCATTGTCATCATCATCAGCAGCAGCACCACCATCATCAGCATCATCATCAGCAGCATCATCAGCATTATCATCATCGTCATCACCATCACCAGCAGCATCAGCATCGGCATCAGCAGCATGATCAGCATCATCAGCATCATCATCATTAGCATTATCATCAGCATCATCACCATCATCAGCATCGTCAGCATCATCACGATCATAATCATCATCATCGTCATCATCAGCATCAGCATCAGCATCAGCATCATCATCAGCAGCACGATCATCATCAGCATCAGCATCATCATCAGCATCATCAGCATCATGTTCATCATCATCATCATCAGCAGCATCATCAGCATCATCATCAGCATCATCATAATCCTGCTCCTCGTCCCGTTTCACTCCTCCTCCTCTCCTTCTCCCTCCTCCCTCCTCCCCCCTCGTGCGTGCTGCATGTGCAGCCTTCGGTGCTCAGAAATCTGGGCCATTAGTGTGCCTTGATTGATTGCTGACAGCGGAGTCGTGCTTGTAGTTGCCACAAGTGCGGTTATCACACCTCGGGGGGTCGCTCCGATCGCCTGGGGAAGAAATGCGAGCCACACAAGCTTGTCTCGCGCAGCAATCCGCGGGGTCGTCTGCAAAGAGGTCGCCGTCCTTCGCACAAGAAGCCCAGGGTTCCCGTAGCGTCGCACGTTTTGTCGTTTATAAAGCCCGCACATTGCTCGTCGTTCAGATTGCTAAAAAGTGTATGGAGCTTTTGCTGGCGCAGGGCACGCCAGTGCAAGGCACCCGAGGCTGAAGGAGGGTCAACCTCAAAAAAAATCCTCCCTGTCCTTCCTCAGCCCTTCCCCTTCTCCCCCTTCGCAGCAGCTGTATCACACCTCCCAACCAGAAAACATCATTCAACGTCACCGACGCCATCATCATCATCATCATCATCATCATCATCATCATCATCATCATCATCATCATCATCATCATCAGCATCATCATCATCATCATCATCATCATCATCATCATCATCATCATCACCATCATCATCATCATCATCATCATCATCATCATCATCATCAGCATCATCATCATCATCATCATCATCAGCATCCTCAGCATCATCATCATCATCAGCATCATCATCATCATCATCATCATGATCGGCAGCATCATCATCATCATCATCATCATCATCATCATCATCATCATCATCATCATCATGATAATCATCATCATCATCATCATCATCATCATCATCATCATCATCATCATCATCATCATTATCAGCAGCATCATCATCAGAAACATCATCATCATCAGCGGCAGCAACAGCATCCTGTTCATCGTCATCCTCCTGTTTATCATCATCAACCTTACCAGTATTGTCATCACCATGATCACCATAATCTCAATACAAAATCTCATCTGCAGTCCCATCATCATCATCATCATCATCATCATCATCATCATCATCACCATCGTCATCGTCATCGTCATCGTCATCATCATATTCATCCATCAGCAGCATCATCATGATCACCATCATCATCAGCATCAGTATCATCATCACCATCATCATAATCAGCAGCAGCATGATCACCATCAGCATCATTATCAACATCATCGTCATCGTCATCAGCATCATCATCCATCATCAGCAACATCATCATGCTCACCATCATCATCAGCAGCATTACCATCATCATAAGCATTAGCATGACCACCATCATCATCACTTGTATTGTCGTCCTATTCGTCGTCATCCTCAACATCATCCCAGTATCATCGCCACCACCACATCCATCATCATCGTCATCATCAGACTCGCCATCGTCGTCGTAATATTCATGTTCATCGTCATCATCAGCAGTATACTCCCCCTCCTCATTGTCGCCCTCGTCGCCATCCTCATCGTCGTCATCATCATCATCATCATCAGCCCCATCCTCATCTCGCAACCAACACCACCAACACCACCACCATCGTCATCATTATCGTCATCAGCAGCAGCATCAGAAGCATCAGCAGCATCATCAACAACACCATCATCATCATCATCACCATCAGCATCATCATCAGCATCAGCATCATGATCAGCATAAGCAGCAGCATCATCAGAGTCATCAGCATCATCATGATCATCATCATTATCAGCAGCAGAATCAACAACCTCATCAGCATCACCAGCATCATCATCACTTGCATAATCATCAGCTTCATAAGCATCGGCATCACCAAAATCAGCAATACGATCAGCACCGTCATCACTATCAGCCTCATCATCATCAGCAGCATCATCGTCATCATCGTAATCACAATCATAATAACCAACATTATCATCAGCATCAGCGTCATCCTCATCAGCATCAGCATCACCATCACCATCACCATCGTCAGCATCAATGTCACGATCATCAGAATCATCATCAGTATCAGCATCAGCATCAGCAGCATCATGATCACCATCATCATCAGCATCAGCAGCAGCATCATCAGCAGCAGCATCATCATTATCATCATCATTATCATCATGATCCCCCCCCCTCCTCCTCGATCCCTTCCGCCGCCCCCCTCCTCCCCGATCCCTTCCTCCAAGCTCCCAGGCGGCAGGCGCCCAGCCTTCTCCGCCATGGCCTTCTTCTCCTGGTGGAGCAGAGCGGGCAAGGGGGAAGGGCGAAGCGGCGCGTCGAGAGTGACAGCCGGGAGGGCCCCAGGCTCCTCCTCTTCCTCCTCCTCATCATCCTCCTCTGTTTTGTTCATATTACGATTCTTTCTAGAACGCTCATTATTATTATTATTCAGACGATGATGATCATGATTAGTATTCTGCGTCTCCTCATGATCATGATTATGATTATGAGTGTCCTGTTCATGTTCCTTCTTCTGATTCGCATTCGTCTTACTATCATTATGTTTATTAGTCTTTATTTCTTTTCATCATGCGTATTATTATGCTGGTTATCATTATTATGATCATTATTCCTAGTATGAGTTCTTCTTTGTATTATTATTACTAATAACCTTCTCCTTCTCCTCCTCCTCCTCCTCCTCCTCCTCCTCCACCTCTTCCTCCTCCTCCTCCTCCTCCCCATCCTCCTCCCCCCCCTCCTCCTCCTCCTCCTCATCCTCCTCCTCCTCCTCCTCCTCCTCCTCCTCCTTCGTAACCATGTTGGCCCAAGGGAGCCCAGCACACGAGGGGCGCACGCGGGGTGCATCCTGCATGGGCCGGAGAGGCCGATGACTTCGGCAGCCAAGCTAAGACTGAAGACTCTCGCGAGGCGACGCCGCCCCGAGCACCGCCGTGGGAAAAAAAAACATACAAACACACACACACACACACACACACACGTGGGAAAAAAAAACACACACACAAACACACACACACACACACACGCGTGTGTGCGTTTTTGTCACACACGTCTGTTTTGTGTGTGTTGTGTGTGTGTGTTTTTGTGTGTGTTTTTTCCCACGTGTGTGTGTGTGTGTGTTTTCCCCAGTGTGCTTTTTTCCCCACGAGTGGCGTGTCTCAGGCGCAAGCGCTGCAGCGCCGCACGACGCGCTTCCGGGCGGACTTCGCGGCCTGGCCCGTTGGGACCCGGGCGGTACGCCGAGGGGCGCACTGGCCCACCTCCACGTGGTGGGAGGCGCCCTCGCCGCCGTGGAATTGGTGGGGGCTGGCGCGCGGCCGCGGCTTGCGCTGAGGGCAACTGGGCGCGACGCGTGCCCTTGGTGGACTTCCGCTCGATGCCCAAGGTGCCGCAGGGCATCAACAAGGGCTCCCAACTTCGCGCTTCGCGCTGCGCGAAGCGCGAAATGCGAATAATTTCGCGCTCTCGCGCCGCCTCCCACGGGATAAGAGGAGGATGAGGAGGAATCGGAGCCGAACCGCGAAGCGCGAAGCGCGAATAACTTCGCTCCCTCGAGGGCGCCCTTGCATCAAGATGGAGCTCCTGGAGAAGACAGTGGCCCAACGGGCCGTGCGGCTCCGGGAAGGACGTCGCGGGAGCTGCCCGTGCAGCTCGCCCCGTGCGAGGCGGCTTGGACGCTTGAGCTGGAGGTCATGCGGGTCAGGAACGAGGAGCTCACCGCACAGCTCGCCGAGCTTGTGAACTATCCTCCTCCTCCTCCTCCTCCTCAACGTGAGGGGCAGCAGTGCCCCATCCAGGAGTACGGCCTCACGAAGACAGGCCAGCAACTTCCCAGCAACAACCTGGACGAGCTGGACGAAAAGGAGGACCTCTGCAAGGAGGACGGGGAGGAGAAGGCCACTCCAAGAGAGGAGAAAAGGACTCGTGCCGTTCGCGATCGACGGACGTGAGACTGCCTGCGTGCCCTTCGCCGACGGCTGGGAGAGTCGGCTGAGCATGCAGCTTTTTGCTCCAGGCTGGGAGGGTATATTGTCACGATGAGGAGATGAAAGTGAGAAACTCCGCCGATTGTAACTTAGACCCCCGCCCTCTCTGATGAACCTCTTAGTCCCCCTCATCCCCCCTCCTCCTAGCAACCAGATCGACTAGAGAATTAGTTCGCCCTGATGAAGTGCAGGAGGGGCTGTGGAAGTGGAGAGGAGAAGGGAGGAGGATTGACGCTTGCTGTTTGCTCGGCATTCCCCCGGTATCGGGGCCAAGGCAGGGCCTCGCTGAGGCATGCTTACACCGCCGACTGTTCTGTATTCTCCTCCTCCTCCTCCTTCTCCTCCTCATCATCATCATCATCATCATCATCATCATCAGAATCATCATCATCATCCGACTGTTCTGTATCATCCTCCTCCTCGTCATCATCATCATCATCATAATCAGCATCAGCATCAGCATCATCATCATTATCAGCATCATTATCATCAGCATCATCATCATCATTTTCATCATCATCAGCATTATCAGCATCATCGTCAGCATCACCATCACCATCAGCATCATCATCATCAGCATCATCATCACCATCAGCATCGTCATCATCAGCATCATCGTCATCATTCGCCTCCTCCTCAGCCGAATAACAAGAACCAGAGCACAAAGAAAAGACGGAGAAGAAGGTGGTGACAATGTGGACGGAGAGGAGCGACGCAAGGTCGCCACGGCCCAGAAAACTTCGAATGCGGGTCACCCCAAGAATGCTTAACTGAAATAGAACTGTAAGATAGAAAAGAAAAACGCCACAAACATGAACTATTGACTCTCCGCGCGGATTACCTGAATCCGCGCTGGATCCCCCTGCCCGGCGCGCGGAGCGCGCCAGGGACGGCGTCTGAGGCGCCGCCGGGGAGGCCCAGGCGCCGATCCAAGACATCCGCGCGGAGCGCCAAAAGTTTATGCTTATGCCGTGCTTTCTTCTTCGAGAAATGGAATGGAGCTATCATCCTGACGAGAGCCCCGGAAGACCTGGAGACCCCCCCAAAAAACTGCCGAACATGACCCGCCGGCCCCATCGGCGTACCCGGGGGGAGGGAGCGCCCGGGGGGGGCCGCGGCTGGCCCCACGCGCGAGCTCATCGCTCGGCGAAGCAAGCTCCTCAGTCAGGAGGCCCCTCCCTCCCACCCTCCCTCCCTCCTCCCTCCCTCCCTCCCTCCCTCCTCCCTCCCTCCCTGATCCATCCCTCCTTCCTCCATCCTTCCTCACTATTCCCTCTCCCCCTCCTCCCTCCCGCCTCCCTCACTATCTCCTCTCTCCCTCCTCCCTCACCTCCTCCCTCTGTGTTTCCCCCTCCCTCCCTCCCCCCCTCCCTACCTCCCTCCTCCATCCTCCCTCCCTCCCTCCCTCCCTCCCTCCTCCCCCTCACTATTCCTCTCCCCTTCCCTCCCTCCACTCCTCCCTGCCTATTCACTCCCTCCTCCCCCCACCCTACCTCCTCCTTCCTTCTCCCTCGCTAATTCCTCCCTCCCTCCCTCTTCCCTCCTCTACCCCCATATTCCCTCCCCCCCCTCGTCCTCCTGCAATGGGGGGCTAGGGCCCCCTCCATCCAGCGGAGCCCACCCGCGCGGGCCAACTGCCACGACACACCCCACGGACGTGCCGCCGCAAGCAGCGAGCCCGCCCCAGCCCGGTCTCTCTCCTTCTTCAGGAGGGCGTCGTCTATGGAGATCTGGGCGCCGACGGATGCTCCTCCTCCTCCACCTCCTCATCCGCCTCATCCGCCTCCTCCCCCTCCGCCTCCTCCAACTCCATACTCCACCTCCTCCCTCCTCCTCCTCCTCCTCCTCCTCCGCCTCTTCTCCACCTCCTCCTCCTCCTCCTCCTCCTCCTCTTCTCCTTCTCCTCTCCTCAGTATCATCATCATCATCATCATCATCATCATCATCATCATCATCATCATCATCATCATCATCATCATCATCAGCATCATCATCATCATCATCATCATCGTCATCATCATCATCAGCATCAGCATCAGCATCAGCATCAGCATCATCAGCATCATCAGCATCATCAGCATCATCATCATCATCATCATCATCATCATCATCATCATCATCATCATCATCATCATCATCATCATCATCATCGTCATCGTCATCATCGTCATCATCGTCATCGTCATCGTAATCGTCATCGTCATCAAATCCTCATCACCACCACCACCACAATCATCATCACATCCTCACCATCATCATCATCATCATCATCATCATCATCATCATCATCAACAACATTATCATCGTCATCATAATCATCGCCGCTGGCATCATTAACATCATCATCATCGTGATCATCACCATCAGCATCATCAACATCAGCATCATCATCGCCATCATCAGCATGTTTACCATCATCATCATCATCATCATCATCATCAGCATCATCCTCATAACCACCATCAGCATCACCATCATCATCAGCAGCATCATGATCATCATCAGCAGCATAATCAGCAGCATCAGCATCATCATCATCATCGTCATCATCATCAGCATATTCATCATCATCGACATCACATCATCAGCATCATCATCTTCATCATCATCGTTAGCGTCATCATCATTGACACCATCATCATCCTCATCATCAGCAGCAGCATAGTCGTCATCATCATTATCGTCAGCATCATGAGCAGCAGCATCATTATCAGCGTCATCATCATCGTCGTCATTATCATCATCACCATCAACGTCATCATCACCATCCACATCATCAACATCACCACTCCACCACGACCACCATCACCAACGTATCATCATCGTCATCGTCGTCGCCATCATGTTCATCACCATCAACATCAACACCATCATGATCATCATCGGCATCAGCATCGGAATCAGGTACACCATCGCCATCGTCATCATCATCATCGTCATCATCATCTACAGCATCATCATCATCACCATCATCATCATTATCAGCATCAGCAATCATCATCAGCATCAGCATCACCACCATCATCATCCTCATCATCATAATCGTCATCATAATCAACATCATCATCACCACCAACACTATCATCGTCATCATCATCATCGTCGCTGGCATCATCAACATCATCATCGTGATCATCACAATCAGCATCATCAACATCAGCATCATCATCGCCATCATCAGCATGTTCACCATCATCGACATCATCATCATCACCATCATCATCGTTATCATCATCATCATCGTCATCATCATCAACATCATCATCGTCATCATCGTCATCATCGTCATCGCCATCATCAGCACCACCACCATCATCATCATCATCATCATCATCGCCAGAACCACGATCATCGGCACCACCACCACCATCATCACCACCACCACCATCATCACCACCACCAGCACCACCATCACCACCACCATAAGCAGCACCATCAGCATCATCATCCCCATCATTCAACATGCCAGGAAGAGAGAGAGAGAGAGAGCGAGAGAGAGAGAGAGAACAAGAAAAAAATCAATACAACATCAACAAAAAACATGAGTCGATAATATATATATATATATATACGAAAAAGAGAGAGAGAGAGAGAGAGAGGAAGAAACAATGAGAGAACTCAAAAAATACCGAGAAAGAGAGAAAACGAAAAAGTGAGTGAGAGAGAGAGAGTTATTGACGACACGAGTGAGAGAGAGAGAGAGAAAGAGAGAGAGAAAGAGAGAGTGACACAGGCAAAGAGAGAGAGAGGTATATATATATAGAGAGAAAGCTATATATATATATATATATATATATACAAAAACAAACGAGGGTGGGGGGGGAAACAAAAAAAAAGAGTGAGGGAAGGAGAAGCGAAAGACACAGCAGAGACGATAATGTTCGCATTGTCTTATGTAGATGTTAGCCAGCAAGGAACCCAAGCATGGTGGATACAGCGATGAATGATGAGCAATATCAATGCGCCGACCCTGTGTCGGCGTGTGGAAGAGGCTGTTCGCTTTTTCTCTGTTCTCCGTGAGGAAGCTCGCGAATCCCGCGGTCCCACAGATTCCAGGAAGACGTCGAGGGAAGCCCCAAGCCCCTTCCCTTTCATCCCTTCCCGCGGGGGGGGGGTCCCGGGGAAGCCCCGGGGAAGTCCCCGGTCAGATACGCTTCCCCCCCGGGCGGATCGGCCCTGACCCCAGCGCGGGTCCTCACCCCCACCCCCAGGAGGCCCAAAAGAGGCCCCGGGAGGCCCCAGAACAGCCCCCGAGAGGCCTCCAACCTGCCTCGGGCAGGCCCCAGAAGGGGTTCCTCACGAGATCCCAACGAACATTCAAGAGGCCTCTGAACCACAACCCGGGCATGGTGGCGGGATGGAACGAAGGCCACTAGATACAAATACAAGCAGAAGCCACGCAGCACCCAGAAGCTGCAACAGCGCCTCTCCCCCAAGGGTTCGGCGGTGCGGCGTAAGCCGTGCCCCAGGCGCAAGGATCACGAGAAGGGGACGACGTTAGGGCAAATACGAGTAGCGGGAGTGGTGTAGGCGACGGAAGGGAGGAGGGATGGGGAAAGATCGGAGCACAACAACTATACACGAATACCTGGTTCTGGCCGCCGGGGGCCCTGAAAGCTGGCTGGGTATCGCAGAGAGGTGTTCGTGGCAGTCTGCTGAGCAGCCGCAGAGGCGATGTCCCGCTGGCGACGGCGCAGGCCCTCTTGGACGGCCAGCCGATTCCGCGGGCCCCAGCCTGCCTGCCCCCGCCGGCGATAAGGGCACTCTGGGGGCACTCCTCCTCCTCCTCCTCCTCCTCCTCCTCCTCGACTATGCGTATACTCCATTCTTTAAAGAATGGAGGACGGGAGGTCGACTCAGCTGGCGTTCGCGACCGAGACCAGCTCAGCTTGCAGGCTGGTCTGGCTTAGCTTACGCAACGAAATCGTGGCCCGGCATTCGGCCGGGGTCCTCGCGGCATCCGTGTGATCATCTTCTCCCAGTAGCCCGCCGACGGCAAAGCCGGCATGCCCAAGGTGTTTTGACGAAGACGTTCAAGAACTGCATCCCCTTCTCCGTACGCCCGTGGACGACTTTGACCTCCACCGGCACGAATTTCGTCCATTCCGGCACCTTGTGGCTCTGAACGCCTTCGGAGTTGAAGGTGAAACCCCCGGCCTTCAGCTTGTCCGCCAATGCCCCTGTGATGTTCACTTTCTGGAAATACGTGTCGGCACAAGGTCCACCCAGGCGACGTGCGTCTGCTTCTACCGCAAGCAGCGCGCCCTCGACGCGCTTACCACGTGGGATGTTGACCAGTGTAACCTTACCCGGCGTCATCAGGTCGAACCGTTCACCGTGGATGTTTTGCAGGTGCGGATCGCTGGTGGCCATCGCCGATGTCGGCGGAGTCGCCGTCGACGTTGGCGCCAGCGTTGACACATCCTCATGTTAGACATCCGCCTGGGCCACCTGGGCACGTGAAAACAAGCGTTTCGCTCGAGACGTTCTCAACACATCCTCATGCTAGACATCCGCCTGGCCGACCTGGGCAAGTGAAAACAAGCGTTTCGCTCGAGACGCTCTCAACACATCCTCATGCTAGAGATCCGCCTGGCCGACCTGGACGCGTGAAAGCAAGCGTCTCGCTCAAGACATCCTAAACAAATCCTCATGCTAGACATCTGCCTGGGCAACCTGGACGCGTGAAACCAAGCGTCTCGCTCTTGACATCCTCAAGACCTGGGCACGTGAAAACAAACATGTCACCTGACAGAACCTTTGAATTCTGGTCCCAGGCCGAAGAGCAATCTATAACACTGAACAAGCGCTTCGCTAGAGACATCCGCAACAAACGAAAATGTGTTTGTTACCTTGTGTTTTATCGATGAGAATTTCAAAAACCAGCGTCTCGCGTGGAACATCCTCAAAATCTGAATTCACCGGCCCTACGCGACATCGTCATCTATCGCAGAAAATGTTCGCTGGCTCTACGCAAGGCGAGGCCAGGGGAAACAGCTAGATAAAAGAGAACCCTTTGCACCTGTCCTTTCCGGTAAAAATGCACAAATGCAATTGAACAACCAAAATATGTTTGGCATGCCAGTCCTCGGCAACCGATGGCCCCGAGAGCGCTCGAAAACGCCCAAGATTGGCCTGGAACAGCCCAAGATGGCCCCAGGCAAATCAAGATCCAGCAACAGCCAAAACGGGTCCAAGACGGCCCCAAGATGGGCCCAATTCGGCCCAAGAAATCACCCAGAGCGCCCCAAGACAGCCCAAGAGGGCGCCAAGACAACCCAAGGATGCCTCACGACGGCCCAAGGGGCCCCAAGACAGCCCCAGGACAGACGAAGAGAGCGCCAAGACGGCCCGAGGGCCCTCAGACGCCCCCAAGACGGCCAAGAGACCCCCAGAGGGCCTCAAGACACCTCAAGAGACGCTCCAAGAAGCTACGAATCCTTACCTCGTGATTCGGGTAGCTCGCAAAGCCAACCCCTTACGAGAATCCTCCAAGACGCCCCAAGCCACTCCTCAAGGTGGCCCAAAAGAGCCTCGGGGGCCCACGAAGCTCCAGAACGACACAAGGAGCCACCAAAACAACCCCATAAGTGATGTTGGACGATGTGGCATACATGTTGGGACGATTTGGGGACAATTTTGAGACGAGTGTGGGACGCTTGTGGGACGATCTTCGGACGGGTATGATGCTCCGCGCTCTTCTTTCATATTGTAAAAGACTTTGTGTTGTTTTTTCAACACTGGTCGGAACACAGGTAGACCCAAAGAGGAGCCATGACCATTGCGCGTTTCTGAAGGAAAGGGTCAGCGAAAGTGGCGCAAGCCTGAAGAATCTATATACATATATATATATATATATATGAAACAACCGATGAGGTGCAATATGTGTCTGATGTGCAATCTACGTGGGACAAAATACGTGGTGTGATCAATGTAACGCAACACATGTTGCAACATGTCTGGTGCAATGTATATTTTGCAAACTGCGTTGTGCCACCTGTGTGGCACAACTTACGTGCTACAATATATGTGGTGCAATCGATGTTGTGCAATCGATGTGGCGCATCTATGGTGTGCAACGGAGCGGCTGCGACGGGGCGGCGCGGCAACGGCGAGAACATAGCCGTCAGGCCGACAGACAAGCCCAAACGACTGGCGGCGACGGCGACAACATAGCCGCCAGACCGACACACCAGCCAACACGATGGGCGGCAACGAGGCGGCGACGGCGACCACATAACCGCCAGACCCACAGACCAGCCTGGTTCCTCAGACCACAACTAAAGAACCCTTAATGCATGCCCTGTGTGGGGAATTCGTTTGTGCGTGCAGACATATGAGTATATATATATATGTATATATATATATATATATGTATACGTATGTATACGTATGTATACATACATACAGGTGAGCCAGCGCGGGCCCGAAACAGTGTGGTTCTAGCCGTCTACGTTATGCAATTCTTGTGGTGCCACCCATGTTGCGCAACCTAAATGGTACAAGTTCTGGGGTGCAACAGGTGTGGTGCAGATTATGGTGCGCTACCGACGCTGTGAAATCTACCTCCCTGCATACCTGGGCACTGCTCGCGCGGCGGGGGAGTCCCGCGCGGGGACGGCGCAGCTGCACCCCATGGGAAAGCATTCCACTCAGGAGCCCATGACAGGGATTACAAATGGGGGGCCCATCAAATGCTATCAAACATGCATGCCCGGCTTGGCCGGATCGGACCGAGCACCGCGAGATGACGCGGGCAAGTGCAAGCGAGGCGGTGAGACAGATCCGTCCAAGGAGCACAGATTACTGCATTGGGCGGCGGGGGCGACAGCAGAAGAGAGAATGCAGTCATGAGCGCAGCCCGACCCAAGAGGGGCAGCCTGGGATGAAAACGACCCCACGAAGCCCAGAGCCGCCACCTCCCTCCTCCTCCTTCCTCCCTCCTCCCTCCTCCCTCCTCCTCTTCCTCCTCCTTACCAGTATTTGTATTATTGTTATGCCAATTCTTCTTGTCCTTCTAGGTATAAGTATCATTGATCTTCTTATTATTCGTAATAAAGGTTAGTCTTCTTAGTATTCGTTGTAGTATTAGTATTATTCGTATTAACATGTACATGTTCATAATAAAAGCAAGAACAAGAATGGAAATGATGATACTAATAATGCTAATAATAGTCGCTCTATGATTAATCGTATTATTTCTCATCCTCCTCGCATGCGTCTTGGTTGCTGGCAGCATTGGTATCATTAGCACTAAGAATGTGAATCTATCAATAGTAATACTAGTATGAATAGTACCAGTAGCTGTAGTAGTAGTAATAGTAGCAGAAATAATATTAATGCGATTGTTAGCAGTAGTGGCATTGCCCTCTTTACTTAGTAGTAGTGTTAATAGTGCTACTAGTGATACAAATAACATTACGTGTTAGCTATTGTTGTAGTATGGTTACTCATATCACCATGCTATTATTCGTAGTACGCGTCTCATCCAGATAATGGGTTGCATTAGTCTTTTTGATCGTGTGATTCGTCTTGTTGAGTTACTCCTCCGAGATAGCTAGACATATGGGTATTAATCATAACAGTATGTGATAATAGCAGTAATACAAATAATACGAATGATAACACTACCACTCGCATTAGTATGTTATCATTGTTGTCGTTATTCGTATCACCAGTAGGATGCCTATTATGTATTGTCCGTTGCATTTCTTGGTAGTAGTCTTGACCAGATTATCCGCGTTCGCACTGGGAGAGTTATTATTAGTTTAATTAACATTCTTATGTTGATGATTACTAATCTCGTTCACCGCATTCCTCTGACATTATTCTCGTTATTCTTACGAATCCAACTATTAGTGATGTTATACCTTCTCCTCATCATCATCAGTATCCTCAATATCCTCATCTGGACGCCCCCTCCTCGAATCCCTTCCCATCGAGCTGCTGCCGGTGGGCTGTCCGGCTCCCGCCGGGCGCCTCTCCGAACTCGTTCTCGATGATGGCTATCTTCATCTCACGCTGCTCCTGCGGGGGGCAAAAAGCAGGGGTAGGAGGGAGGGCCAGGGGAGAGGAGGGAGGATAAGAACAGAGGAAGAGAGAGGAGATAGAGGAGGGGGAGGAGGAAGAGGAGGAGGACGAGGAAGAGAAGGAGGGAGGAGGAGGAGGAGGAGGAGGAGGAGCAGGAGGAGGATCAGGAGGAGGAGGAGGATGGAGGAGGGGGAGGGGACGCGGGGATGAGGATGGAGGAGGAAGAGGGAGAAGAGAGAGGGCGGTACCGCATCGAATGGGGAAGTCGGATCGGATGGGAGCGTGCGCCGGATCGGGCCGCAGCGGCAGGAAGGCGGCATCCGACAGGATCGCCTGCGCAAGAACTCCCAACAACGCCATGCGGGTATCGGGCCGCGTCTGACCGTCGGAAATGCCGGCACCGAATCGGATCGAGCCAGCTGGAACCGACATCGAATCGGACCGGTCGAGTCGAGATGGGCCAGGGGTAGGGACGGGCGCGAGATGTGGAGTCCTCGCCGTCGTCGTCGTCACGCCGTCGTCGTCTTTTCCGAAGCCCGTGGGCGGCTCTGGGGGTGTTCTCGTCGCAACTACCGGAAGAAGTGGGTGGAAGCATGAAGTAGGAAGGTGTTGAAGTACATGGGACTTCCGCCCGCGAGGAGGGGGAAACCTGTTGACTGTGAGAACAGGAAGGCAACCGAGATAGATCGGAGCCTGGAGATCCAAAAACACGTACCTTCAACGAAGCATGGCCAAGGTCTTCAAATGATCTGGGAGCAGGGCCACCGCCACTGCTCTCCAGCTCGGAGCCGGGACAGACCCCTAGGCGGGCCCGGGGAACCCCCTGGGGGGAACGACAGGGGGGGCAACCAGCCCAGAGGGCGGAACATGAAGCTGGAATCGGCGCCACATCGCCAATGGATCGGTGACAGGCCCCCGAAGGCGCACGCGCGGTGGACTATCAGGCCCCTATCGGCGATCACTGAGCAATTTGAGGTCGACTCGTCCGCCCCTGAGCCCACCCACCCCCTGGCGCTGCCCCGAACCCCATTTTGAGCGGGCGTGGGCTCCTCCTCCTCCTCCTCCTCCTCCTCCTCCTCCTCCTCCTCCTCCTCCTCCTCCTCCATCCACGAAGGCTGTGCGCCCCCACTGCACGAGCGACCCCATCCAAAGCACCCCACGCGCGAACGTCCGCGCACACGCGACGACCCCCTCAGCGGGAGCCCCCCTCGCCGCGGGCTCCGAGGGCGCCCGCAGGCCCTCGCAGAGGCCCTGGAGGCCCTGGAGGGCCTCCCCCCCCCCCAAAAAGAAACACGCCCACAAACCTCGATCCTCGATCGGCAACCACGAAGACGAAGACGACGGTGACGACGACACACAAAGACGGCAAAAACGAACTGCATGATCATCAGCATCATCATCATCATCATCATCATCATCATCATCATCATCATCAGCAGCATCATCATCACCACCACATTCATCATCATCATCATCATCATCATCATCATCATCATCATCATCGTCATCATCATCATCATCATCATCATCATCATCATCATCATCATCATCATCATCATAATCATCAGCATCATAATCATCATCATCATCATCATCATCATCATCATCATCATCATCATCATGAGCATAATCATCGTCATCAGCATCAGCAGCAGCATCATCAGCATCAGCATCAGCATCGTCATCACCATTATTACCCTCATCAGAATCATCATCATCACCACCACCACCATCATCATCATAATCATCATCATCATCAGCAGCAGCATCATCATCATCATCATCATCATCTTCATCATCAGCAGCAGCATCATAATCATCATCAGCATCAGCACCATAATCATCATCATGAACATCATTATCATTACCACCACCATCACCACTATCACCATCATCATCATCAGCAGCACCATCATCAGCAGCATCATCATCTGCATCATCAGCAGCATCAGCATCAGCATTTGCATCAGCATCATAATCAACCTCATCATCATCATCATCATCATCATCATCATCATCATCATCATCATTATCAGCATCAGCATCTTCATCGGCATCAGCATCATCACCATCATCAGCATCATCATCAGCATCATCATCGTCATCAGTCTCATCCCCATCATCATCAGCAGCATCATCAGCATCATCAGCAGCAGCATCAACGGAAGCATCATAAGCATCATCGTCATCAGCATTAGCATCATCATCAGCATAATCATCATCAGCAGCATAATCTTCATCAGCATCATCATCATCGTCATAAGCATCAGCACCAGCAGCATCAGCAGCAGCATCATCGTCATCATCGTCATCCTCATGATTTTCGTCATCATGATCATCAACATCAGCAGCAGCAGCAGCAGCGGCAACCTCGTAATCAGTAGCATCACCAGCATCAGCATCAGCGTGGTCATCATCATCATCATCACCATCATCATCAGCACCATCATCAGCATCATCAGCAGCAGCATCATCATCCTCATTGTCATCATCATCGTCATCATCGGCATGATCAGTTTCAGCATCAGCAGCAGCATCATCAGCAGCAGCATCCTCATCATCGTCATCAGCATCATCATCATCAACATCAGCACCATCATCATCATCAACATCAGCACCATCATCATCATCAACATCAGCACCATCATCATCATCGTCATCATCATCATCATCATCATCTTCAGAATCACCATCACCATCATCATCATCAGCATCGTCGTCATAGTCGTGTTATCATCATGGTCATCAGCATCTTCATCATCATCATCAACAGCAGCAGCATCAGCAGCTGCAGCAACAGCAGCATCATAGTAGCCGTTATCATCATCAGTCATCATCATCAGCATCATCATCGCCATCATCATCACATCCATCATCAACATCATCATCATTATCATCATCTTCTGCTGAATCCTCATCCTCATCATCATCACCATCATCATCAGAATCTGGATCATCCTCATCACGGTTCCCCCAAAGCTGGAGACACGAGGTGTCACATGTGACAGCCTCCCGTGCCCCATCGAACAGTCGCCGCCAATAATGGTAGGCGTACACCGTGGCGGGACTTGCCGAAGGCAGCTGGATAACCTCGACCCTCGATTGGCGAGGACGAGGACGACGACGACAGCGACGACGACACCTTACGCGCGACCGCGCACGGGCACCCTATGCGCGAGTGTCCCTGCGGTCGACTGCCTTTCTCTTCGCCTCGTCTGGCAAGGGGAGGAGTGGGACGAGGAGGGGGATGATGAGAAGGAGGACGGGGGGGGGAGGCGAGGGAGAAGGAGAAGCGTCGCGCGGTCGACTGAGTTTCTCTTCGCTTCGCCGCCCAAGAGTGGACGCGAAGAAAAGGCGGAGGCCTGCAGGATGTAGTTCAGCAAAGTCGTCTTGCCAGAGCCGAGGAAACCTTCGGGCTCCCCCGTTTCCGTGCGCCCCGCGCCTTTTTCCTCCCCCTCCTCCTCCTCCTCCCCGGTACCCCTCCATATCCTCCTCTCCTCCTCCTCCTCCTTCTCCTCCTTCTCCTCCTCCTTCTCCTCCTCCCCCCCGCCACTTTCTCGCCTCCCTCACCTCCCCCTCCTCCCCCTCCCCCATCCCTCCCTCTCCCCCTTCCCCTTATTCATTCTTCGTTTCCCAGACATCGTTTGTGCTTACACTATCACCTCATTTCTTAATCGATTGGGTGGCTCTCCGGGCTCCCCCCCCGTCGCCGCCCGTGGTGCGCTGGCTCGCACGTATGGGTTCTCGCCTGATCGTCGCCAGCGGGCGATTCGCGGGCGCGGTGGCAGTTCCAGAGCTTCGCCCTTGCGGGCCTCGTGGGCGCCCCGGGCGTGTGTGTGGATATACACACACACACAAGATCAGGGGTGGACCTTCGTAAACGTTGTTTCTCGTGCTTTCCTGCACCTCCCTCCCGAAGCGAAAAACAGAACACGGCCGAAGCCCAGCAGAACAGCGTCTGGGTCCAGCCCTGCACACGAGCACACGAGCCACCACGCGCTGTGCGATAACCAGCGCCACGGTCAGGAGGTGTGGGCACGCAACTTCCACCACCACCACCACCTCCTCCTCCTCCTCCTCCTCCTCCTCCCCCTCCTCCTCCCCTCCTCCTCCTCCTCCTCCTCCTCCTCCTCGTCCTCCTCCTCCTCCTCCTCCCCCTCCTCCTCCCCCTCCTCCCCCTCCTCTTCACCCTCCTCCTCCTCGTCCTCCTCCTCCTCATCCTCCTCCTCTTCCCCATCCTCCTCCATTCGCTTTCCTTACAAATAACTCATCCATGTTGCACCCCGATGCCAGTTTTTAGGGCGGGCCTGGCACCATCCATGACTCTGAAGCTGAAAAGTGAGCAACAGTTTCACAGATGGAGGGCAGGTGGTTTTCAAAAGGTAGCTCTCGCCTTAGCAAGGTGCACATTCATTCTAAAAATGTGCAAGGAGCTGCACGGATTGAGGGCGGGTGTTTTTTTACGTGGCTCTCACCATAGCGCGTCGCACATTCGTTTTTTCAAGAACTTCACGGATTAGGGGCGGGTGGTTTTCAAGATGTGGCTCTCGCATTGGGTGGCGCACATTCATTTTGAAAATGTACAAGAGCTTCACGGATTGAGGGCGGGTCGTTTTCAAAGTGTGGCTCTCGCCTCAGCGCCGCGAACATTCGCCTTAAAAGTTTGCAAGCGCTTCACGGACTGAGGGCGGATCCTTTTCAAAATCTGCCTTTCGCCTCAGCGCCGAGCATACTCGTTTTAAACATTCGCAAGAGTTTCACGGAGTCCCATCATCAACGTACCAGACATGGTGTGTTGGAAGGATTGAGGATTATGCGGGTGCAACAATTACGTTGCTTATCTGTGCTGACGTCCCTGGAATGGTTTTCTGGCACGATTCAGGATCGTCAAAACGCACCAGTCAGGTAGATCCCTGGCATTGGAATCTCGGAAATAATGTTTTGGCATGCCTCAAGATTGTCAAACGGTTCTTCCAACGAAACAATTCGTTCATTGGAAGTGAACCGTTGTACGGGCCTATGAAAAGGGAGCCTGGAGGGAGGGTTTACTCCAACATCGTTCATGAATCTTGTGTTTACACTGGTCTTGCTCCTCCCTTCCCCTTCATCATCACCATCATGAACAACAGCAGCAACAACCACAATAACAGCAACAACCATAACAACAACAACAACAACAACAACAACCATTTTAAGGCTGTACGTTCTTACTTGCCCGCGAGTCATTCAACACGTATACCCTACACCCTCGATACCCGCCCTCTTCGTCTTCGATCACACCCCTTTCGGGGGGATTATTTCTCTTTGCTGGGGCCGGCGGGCTTAGACGTACGGGCAAACCGGAACGGGCGGACAATCCTTCGGGGGCGTACATCTCTCTGCCCGCCATTGGAATTGGCGCGGGCCCTGCAAGAGGAGGAGGGGAAGAACGAGGGAGAGTGGGAGGAAGGGGAGGGGGAAGGACGAAGGAAGAGGGAAGATACCACGTTGTGAAGGCGTCCTTGGCGCGTGCGTGGTTCCTGAGCGCCGAAACGCAATTCCAGAATAATTTGTGAGGACGTCGCACGCGAGAGCGCAGTCCTGAGTACATTGTGAGGAAATCTCAGGCGGAAGCGGGGGCCCTGACTAAGTTGCGAGGAAGTCTCAAGCGGGAGCGCCGTTCCTGAGCAAATTGCACGGAAGTCTCAGGCGGGAGCGGGGGTCCTCACTAAATTGCGAGGAAGTCTCAGGCGGGAGCGCCGTTCCTGAGTCAATTGCGCGGAAATGTCAGGCAGGAGCGGGGGTCCTGAGTAAAATTCGAAGAAGTCTCAGGCGGGAGCGCCGTTCCCACGTAAATTGCACGGAAGTCTCAGGCGGGAGCGGGGGTCTTGATTACATTGCGAGGAAGTCTCAGACGGGAGCGCCTTTCCTGAGTAAATTGCGCGGAAGTCTCAGGCGGGAGCGGGGGTCCTGAGTAAAAATTGAGGAAGTCTCAGGCGGGAGCCGTTGTTGTTGTAGCCCGGGGGGCAGGGGCACAGTTTGAGCAGGAAAACTTTCCTTGAGAAACAAGGTGCGAGCCCCGGGGGTGGCACTTCAATCGAAAAAAATCAATGTGCACCGGTGGGGGGGGATCAACAATAATTATTCTTCAATAGTGAGAGTTCAACAACAACAGCAACCACAACAACAGCGACAGCAACAACAATTACAACAATCATTTAAAAACTGTTCGTTCTTATTGGCACGCGTGTCTTGCATTCCGTATACCCCAACCCTCGATACCCGCCCACTTCGTTTTCGATTGCACCCCCTTTCGGGTGGAATCTCTTCCATGTCGGCCACTGACTGAAGTGCGGAGAAGTCTTGAGCGAGAGCGCCGTTCCTGAGTTCGGGGGCCTCTCTGGCCAGGGGATTTTGAAATACCTGTGGAGATCTATCGAACGGGAGCCCTTGCCGCCGCGTCCGGGCCTCTACCAACTTGCCTGAATTACGCGAAAATCTCGAGCGAGAGCGCCGTTCCTGAGTTCGAGGGCCTTCTTGGCCAGGGGCTCTGAGGAAGTATCGATCAGGCGCCCTCGTCGTCGTGGCTGGGCCTCCGCCAACTGAATTGACTTGCAAGGAAGTCTCGAGCGAGAGCGCCGTTCCTGAGTTCGGGGGCCTCTCTGTCCAGGGTGTCTCGGGGTAAATTGTGAGGGCGTATCGAGCGGGAACCGTTGTTGTCGCAGCTGGGCCTCCAAGGGCCCACATTTATGCTCAAGCCAACGCTCGAGCGGAGCCTCGTTTTCAGATAAAATGTGGCCGGCGTCGAGGCGAGAGCGCGCGGAACCGTTCCCGGATATCAACAATGACCATTCTTTAGACATGAGCACTCAACAACAACAACAATAACAACAACAACAACAACAGCAACAACAAAACAACAACAACAACAACAACAACAACAACAACAACAACAACAACAACAACAACAACAACAACAACAACAACAACAACAACAACACAACAAACAACAACAACAACAACACAACAACAACAACAACAACAACAACAACAACAACAACAACAACAACAACAACAACAACAACAACAACAACAACAACAACAACAACACACAACGACAACGACAACGACAACGACAACGACAACGACAATCATTTTAAGACTGTCCAATAACGGGTATTTCCCAAACCCTCGATACCCGCCCTCTTCGTCTTCGATCGAACCCCTTTGGGGGGTATACTTTTCTTCCCTGCAGGCCGGGCAGCGGCAAGCGGCGGGGCGGCCGCGGACCGTCGGCCTGGCCAGCGGCAGCGCTGATCGGCGGGGCGGCCGCGGACCGTCGACCCGACCCCAAGAGGGACGGACAGGGAACCGACCACGACGACGACGACGTCGACGACGGCGGCGACGACGACGACGACGACGACGACGACGGCGGCGGCGACGACGACGAGCGAAAGCGAGAGCGAGAGAGAATGACAGCAGAGCCACAAGGACACGAAGTAGGCCACGAAGGGCAACAGCGGGGACACAAAGGGAATACGTATGGGGCCACGAAGAGCGCGAACGAGCGGGGGCCACGAAGGGCAGATAATGCGGGGCCACAGAGGGCAACGATGGGGGCACTGAGGGTAGCAACTGGGCCACGTAGGACAGTGAGGGTGCCACAAACGGCGACAGCGGGGCCACGAAGGGCATGCACATGGGACCATAACGGGCGCGAATGAGCGGGAGCCACGAAACGCATACATGGATTGGGCCGCGGAGGGCAAAGACGGGGCCACTGAGGGCAGCATCGGGGCCACGAAGGGCATCGAGGGGGGCACGAAGGGCGACAGAGGGGCCACGAAGGGCATGCCTATGGGGCCACCACGGGCGCGAACGAACGGGGGCCACGAAGGGCATACATATACGAACGAGCGGGGGCCACGAAGTGCAGATAATGCAGGGCCACAGAGGGCAACGATGGGGGCACTGAGGGTAGCAACTGGGCCACGTAGGACAGTGAAGGGGGCACAAATGGCGACAGCGGGGCCACGAAGGGCATGCACATGGGGCCACAACGGGCGCGACTCCTGAGTGCGTGGGTGTCGGGGGCGCGGCGCTTGGGCAAATTGCTGGAAATTCCAACGCAAGGCCATTCTTCAGCATGTTGCAAGCAAGTCTCCAGCGAGAGCGCGACTCCAGAGCGCCGGGAGAGCGATTCCTGAATAAATTGTAAGAAAGTCCCCAGCGAGAGCGCGACTCCTGAATAAAATGCGAGGACGTCTCGGGCGGGAGCAGGGGTCCTGGCTAAATTGTAAAGAAGTCTCAGGCGGGAGCCGTTGTTGTTGTAACCCGGGGGCCAGGGGCCCAGTTTGAGCAGGAAGACTTTCCCTGTCAAATTATCCTGGCGAAAGACCCAACCATATGCAGTTGTGAATACCGCAATTGTGAATACCATCTTCGCCCGCGCTCCCTATGTGGCCACGGCTTCCCGCCAGAGCCCGACATGCTCAGAGACACGTTCGTGGCCGTCTTCGCGGGCGCCGACGACGACAAGGACGGCGTCCCTCTCACCGAGGAGCAGAAGCAGGAAAGGGCCTTGAGAGCCATGAGGGAGGAGGTGGCGTTGCACGTCGACAAGGCGGAGTACGACGCCCAGGCGCGGTTGTTGAAGCAGCACAACTATGGGGCCACGATCCTCGTGAGGGGTGTGCCGAAATGGCCCGGGGCCGCCATGCGAACCCTGCCACTGGCGCCTTCGGTGGAGCTCCAGTGGGGCCACGGTCCTCGTGAGGGGTGTGCCGAAATGGCCCGAGGCCGCCATGCGAACCCTGCCACTGGGGGCCTTCGGTGGAGCTCCCTATGGGGCCACGATCCTCGTGAGGGGTGTGCCGAAATGGCCCGAGGCCGCCATGCGAACCCTGCCACTGGGCCTTCGGTGGAGCTCCCTATGGGGCCACGATCCTCGTGAGGGGTGTGCCGAAATGGCCCGAGGCCGCCATGCGAACCCTGCCACTGGCGCCTTCAGTGGAGCTCCCTATGGGGCCACGATCCTCGTGAGGGGTGTGCCGAAATGGCCCGAGGCCGCCATGCGAACCCTGCCACTGGGGGCCTTCGGTGGAGCTCCCTATGGGGCCACGATCCTCGAGAGGGGTGTGCCGAAATGGCCCGAGGCCGCCATGCGAACCCTGCCACTGGGGGCCTTCGGTGGAGCTCCCTATGGGGCCACGATCCTCGTGAGGGGTGTGCCGAAATGGCCCGAGGCCGCCATGCGAACCCTGCCACTGGGCCTTCGGTGGAGCTCCCTATGGGGCCACGATCCTCGTGAGGGGTGTGCCGAAATGGCCCGAGGCCGCCATGCGAACCCTGCCACTGGCGCCTTCGGTGGAGCTCCCTTTATGGGTCCACGATCGTCGTGAGGGGTGTGCCGAAATGGCCCGAGGCCGCCATGCGAACCCTGCCACTGGCGCCTTCGGTGGAGCTCCCTATGGGGCCACGATCCTCGTGAGGGGTGTGCCGAAATGGCCCGAGGCCGCCATGCGAACCCTGCCACTGGCGCCTTCGGTGGAGCTCCCTATGGGGCCACGATCCTCGTGAGGGGTGTGCCGAAATGGCCCGAGGCCGCCATGCGAACCCTGCCACTGGCGCCTTCGGTGGAGCTCCCTATGGGGCCACGATCCTCGTGAGGGGTGTGCCGAAATGGCCCGAGGCCGCCATGCGAACCCTGCCACTGGCGCCTTCGGTGGAGCTCCCTATGGGTCCACGATCGTCGTGAGGGGTGTGCCGAAATGGCCCGAGGCCGCCATGCGAACCCTGCCACTGGCGCCTTCGGTGGAGCTCCCTATGGGGCCACGATCCTCGTGAGGGGTGTGCCGAAATGGCCCGAGGCCGCCATGCAAACCCTGCCACTGGAGCCTTCGGTGGAGCTCACGATCCTCGTGAGGGGTGTGCCGAAATGGCCCGAGGCCGCCATGCGAACCCTGCCACTGGGGCCTTCGGTGGAGCTCCCTATGGGGCTACGAAACGCTGTGCTGGGTGGGTGAAACGCAAGGAGGAGGGGGAGGAGGAGAGGAGGAGCGGAGACGCGGGCCACCGTCTCTTCAAAACGAGGACCCAACACCACAGGATGGTTGGGAAAAACAGGGTGCCAGCGTCGATGGGGCACACGTTGATTGAGAAAAACAGTATGCACCAGCGGGGGGGGATCAACAATAATTATTCTTCAGAAATGAGAATTCAACAACAACAACAACAACAACAACAACAACAACAACAACAACAACAACAACAACAACAACACCGACCGACCGACCGACCGACCGACCGACCGACCGACCGACCGACCGACCGACCGACCGACCGACCGACCAACCAACCAACCAACCAACCAACCAACCAACCAACCAACCAAACAACAACAACACAACAACAACAATAACGATTAAGACTGTTCGCCCTTATCTGCTCGAGTGTCCGTTAACGCGTATTTCCCAAACCCTCGATACCCGCCCTCTTCATCTTCGATCGAACCCCTTTGGGGGGTTAAACCTTTCTTCCCTGCAGGCCGGGCCCCGGCAAGCGGCGGGGCGGCCGCGGACCGTAGGCCTGGCCAGCGGCGGCGCTGATCTGCGGAAACCCGACCCTAAGAGGGACGGACAGGGGACCGACCACGACGACGACGACGACGTCGACGACGACGACGTCGACGACGACGACGACGACGGCGACGACGACGACGACGACGACGAGCGAAAGCGAGAGCGAGAGAGAACGACAGCGGGGCCACCAAGGTCACGAAGCAGGTCACGAAGGGCGACAGCGGGGACACGGAGGGAATGCGTATGGGGCCAGGAAGAGCGCGAACGAGTGGGGGCCACGAAGGGCAGATAATGCGGGGCCACCGAAGGCAACGACGGGGCCACTGAGGGTAGCAACTGGGCCACGTAGGACAGCGAGGGGGCCACGAAGGGCGACAGCGGGGCCACGAAGGGCATGCACATGGGGCCACGACGGGCGCGAACGAGCGGGAGCCACGAAGGGCATACATATATTGGGCTGCGGAGGGCAAAGACGGGGCAATTGAGGGCAGCAACGGGACAACGAAGGGCAGCGAGGGTGCCACAAAGGGCGACAGCGGGGCCACGAAGGGCATGCCTATGGGGCCACGACGGGCGCGAACGAGCGGGGGCCACGAAGGGCATACATATATGGGGCCACGAAGGGCAGCGAGGGGGCCACGAAGGAAAGCGAGGGGGCCACGAAGGGCAGCGAGGGGGCCACGAAGGGCTGCAACCGGGCCATGAAGGGCAGCGAGGGGGCCACGAAGGACGAAGGGGTGCAACGGGGCCACGAAGGGCAGCGAGGGGGCCACGAAGGGCTGCAACAGGGCCACGAAGGGCAGCGAGGGGACCACGAAAGGGTGCAACGGGGCCACGACGAGCAGCGAGGGGGCCACGAAGGGCTGCAACGGGGCCACGAAGGGCCGCGAGGGGGCCACGAAGGGCTGCAACGGGTCCACGAAGGTCAGCGAGGGAGCCACGAAGGGCTGCAACGGGGCCACGAAAGGCAGCGAGATCCCGTTTCCTAGGTAATCTGTGAGGGAGTCCTAAGCGTGAGCGCGACTCCTGGGTGCCTGAGTGTTGGGAGCGCGGCGCTTGAGTAAATTGCAGGAAATTCCAACGCAAGGGCGCTATTCTTCAGTAAATTGCAAGCAAGTCTCCAGCGAGAGCGCGACTCCTGAATAAAATGCGAGGAAGTCTCAGGCGGGAGCGGGGGTCCTGGCTAAATCGTGAATAAGTCTCAGGCGGGAGCCGTTGTTGTTGTAACCCGGGGGCCAGGGGCACAGTTTGAGCATCAAGACTTCCCCTGTCAAAAACAGGGTGCGAGCGTCGAGGGGCACACTTTGATTCAGAACAAACAGTA